CAGACATTTCAATAACAAATTGAAAACATATCGCATTAAATATACTGAACTAATAATTTTAATTTTAAAAATAAACTGCTTAACTGTTTCATGCATATCTAGTTCAGGAGTGTCTCATAAACTAGAACTTAACAGCTTTGAAATAATGAAGTAATTTTTAAATTAATTATTTAATTAATTAATTAATCAGTTGACTATGTAATGTAATAAAAAAAGAAGAAACATTAAAATTATTTTAATGTTTCTTCTTTTTTTTTGCTTTTGCTGATAAAGATCAAGGTAGGAAATTGTTTTTTCATTGCACTAGAGTATAAAATTCTATTTACTTTGCTTTTCATTCAGGTATGAAACTTGAAAAGGAACATTCCAATGTAACAAAGCTGGATGACAAACAAAGCAGATATACTGACATCGTCATTCGTCCTTTCAAGTCATGTGACACTGATGTAGTGCGTAACATATTTGCTGAAAGCATGGGAGAAATGCGCAGTCCCCTAGTCCATGATGTCATGTACCAAGCCATTGTTTATGGATTATATTTATCATTACCTGCAGCAGTGCTAAGTGTTGTATGGTTTTCTTGGTTTTTAGCACTGTATTTTATCATTTTCATTTTCATTTTGATTGTTTTGTTTGCTGTGTTACACATTGGTTTCTCAAGGTACATTCAACGATGTTTAGACACTGATCTAGGAGACATAGAACATACATATTTCCAGCAAAAAATGTCGCACTTGTGGGTTGCAGAGTGCAACCGAACAGTAATCGGTATGGTAGCTCTCGTTCCCGATACCGACCACGAAGGATGCTTTGGAAAGTCTGGGGAAGTTGTCGGAAGGCTTCGGAGAATGGCTGTTTTACCAGAATTCCGTAGATTAGGTGTCGCTAAACAACTTCTTGACACACTTCTGTCTTATGCGAAGCAAGTTGGGTATAAACAAATTGTTTTGCTGACAACCAGTGCTCAAGAAGCTGCTATTAAATTTTACACAAAGTATGACTTCCAACTGGTATCAAAGAGACTCGCAAACAGAGCAATGAGAGGATTTTACCATTTTGATTATTCTTATGACCTTGAAAGACAGAAATAAAATAAAGTATTATACATAATAAATATCATGATTTATTCTAAAAATTCCTAAAGACGGGCTGTTACAGTAACATACCAAGAGGTTTTTCACCCAGCTGTTGTTCAATGACCCCATATTATTGCCAATTCATGGAAAAAGAATTCAATAACGACACTGCAGCCACCATAGAGTGAAACACTGATTATATAGCTCAATGGAGCTCGGTGTTTTCCTAAGGGGTATGAGCTAGAGAAACCCGTTAACATACTCAGACTTTATACAGCAGCTTGGTGAATTTATTGGTCAGTAAGTGAAGTGTTTGTGTGATGCTTAAAAGAGAGTAAAAACGTGTTTGAAAAAATAAATATAATATATATACTAGAATAAAGTGGATGAATGCCTAATGTACCCTCATTTCTAAGTCTTTCACCCCACATTAGGGAATCGGAATACCAGAATCCAGGAAGTTTTTGCTTTGGAATCTGAAAATCCAGAATCCGAATCCCGGTTTTTGTAATCCAAAAACTTCTTAACAAATCGGGAATCCCAATAATGACTGAAATCCAAGATCCACTGGCAAAGAATCTGTAATTTAGCACCTGGAATCTGGAATCCACAGCATGGAATCCAGAATCAAAGAGTGTCTTAGATTTCCTTACATTGGGCAAAGTGTAAAATAAGGGAAGCAGCTGGTGTAAGAGACAAATATCTTTCACCATTTTATATTTGTTGTCTTTCTTTATCACTCTTCCTGCTTTAAGGATCAGTTCACTGTTTTAATTTCAAAATTTGGCATAAAATTTAAAGATTTTACTGATTCAGGGCTACTAAATATCCGGCTCATGACTCATTGGTTTGTGGCTGTGGTTTTGCCTTCACAAGTGTTTCTGATGCTTATAAGAGAGGGGGTGGGGGGCTTAAAAGAAAATTTGCGGTAAGATTTTAGAAGAGAAGAAATATACCGATCTCAAACTGCCTTGTCCCCGATTGCAAGTGATTACTTTTTGGGGATATTTGAGTTACTAGGCCACTTCCGAGTTTCAAAAAGCCCTTTCAAAATGAGGCCAAGTACACAACCTTTCTTGTGAAAACGAGCGTTATTTGCATGAGAATGAAAAATCATTTTGAGTGCTTAACCTCGTTTCTCTTACAGAGGCTCGGGGGAACGCGGTAATGACCTATTATAAAGCCCGGGAGGGACTCCCCATATGAAAGGGGTGGGCATGCTCGTCGTCTCGTTTAGGGGTATAAATTTCGGATTTTGGTCTCACTTAGGGTGTTCTGGGCAAAACGCCATCATATTTAGCCGTGAAGGTCTCGTTTAGGGTTGCACACGAAAAAATATAAAAATAAACATATTGTCTGTGTTTTAACATGGGCTCTCTTAGGGGGCAAAAAAAGCTTGGGCCCCGCCCAGATCGGTCTCCTTTAGGGGTTTAATTCAAAATTCTCGACGAGCATCCCCACCCCTTTCATATGGGGAGTCCCCCCGGGTTATAAAGGCTCTACCTAGTCTTCCTTGTAGCCGTTTTTGTCTCGTCACGCAAGAGGAGGAGCGTTGCGTGACGAGACAAAAACGGCTGGGAGTTAGACTTAGACTGCGAGCGGCTTCTCTTTTTCCTCAGATTTAGTAAGGGGAGTGCACGTGCGCGCGAGAGAGAGACGAGAGACGCCATTTGCGTGTCTCGCGTTTTGCTCGACGACGGTCTACAGAAAAAAGAGAGACATTCCCATCATCATCCCCCAGTCTCGCGCTACTTGCTTGTCTCCAGCTCTTACGCTTCTCGCTTGCTCCATGCTCCCTGCCCTAATGACTGTGGAGGAGACAGACATTTCCTTTCGGTCAATATCGTATCTGACAAGTACGCGCGCGCGCGTTTAGGTAGAACTCGCGCGAGGCAAACGTCAGCAGAAACGAATTTCGACATACTTGGGTGGTATGATAATCTTCCAAAACATCCCAAATCAGATTACGCACCGATTACACAAATTCGCAAGGGTGAACCATTTATCAATCACGATCTGTACCCTTTCAGCTGTTTGCACTAATGACACTAACCGCACAGCTCAAAATCGGCAAAAACTTTAAGAAAAATAAAATTAAATAAATGAAAAATAGATTTCCAGATGATAAAATGGTAAGGTAACAATAGTGCTGAATCGAAGTGGCAGTTAATAGGTCTTGAATTTTACAGTCAATTCATAAGACGAGGGCCGGTTCTCTGTTATGAAAAGTCGGATAGCGATCGCGGATAGCATGCTCGCGAATATGCTTGTCGTTCTCGTTGAATATTGAAGTTATGCCTGCAGAAGGGCTCTTCCGGAAGTTGATGTCATCTTAAAACAGAGGTTAAACGCGTAGTTATTGATTCAGCTGTTTGGTAGGATGTAGTTACGGAATGCAATTTAATCTGTTTATAAATGTATCACTTACATAACATACAGTTGCTGTATCGCAAAATCGAAAGTCATGAACGTTCGTTTTAGACAAATTCCTTCACAAACGGTCGCAATGAATGGAAAGAACAACTCCTGTTCTCTTTGCTATGGGTTCATATTCAATCTATTGGTTGCCCTGTGCACTATTGGCTTCTTGTGCTATTTTTTGTACCGTTTTGACGCAAGGTTGGTCTCGCTGGAACGAAGACTGTGGAACAAGGAACATGGCGATAGCAGAATAAGTACAAAGGAGGGGATAGGGAGTTATGGCCAAGCAAGTCAGCACAAGCAGGCCATCCTTATGAGAAAAGCAAGGACTGGTGGCAAGGTACGTCTTTCGGAAGCAAAACAGCTGAAAAATTTGATTATTGAAGAACAATCAAGAACGTGATCTAACAAGTCTCAATCTTGGGAAATATCAGGTCAAGTTCGTCAGTCTCACTCCAAGGAGTTCATGAATACTTACGGGTTTCATACAGAATACAATTTACGTCCTCCTGGGGATGCGTTTGTCGGCGAAAGGATAAACGCCAGAAACGCGTGTGACGCGCGTGGTAACTCAAAGAACCGGCGGCAAAAACGCTACAAAGCCATCAAACTCATAGTTCATCTTTAGCGGGATGATGATACTTGATATCAAGCTATTTAGCATATGTTTTATAAAATTTCACTGTTCAACTTGTAAAGCTATTCACGGCGGTGCAGACCGGATTGATTCTTGTTATGGCAAAATGCTGCAGAAAACGAAAGTAAAACAAAATTACTGTACCCTGCAATGAAATATTCATTTTTATAGCTGTACATATACATATGCCTTTGGTCACTGTTTCGTCATTCGGCTCCCGGAGTGATAAGTCAACTAATTTCTGCGCTAGAAAAGAAGACGTGGAAATTCTTAAAACAGAAAACGTGAAAATGAAAAATGGGACTGAAGCAAACCCTAATTGTAACCTTTGCTTTATCTCGTATCGAGATAAGGCAGATTTTTTTCGGCCCTTCGGGCCTCAGTTTGGTCTAAAAATAAGGGGTTGTCCTAGTTACCTATTAAAAGTTTATCATGACGCAATTGCTAGTGATTAGCTTTTCGAAAGCAATTCGCGGGAAAGGCTTATCTAAAAAATAGACCTACTTGTGAAAAACGCCGTTGCATAGGGGCAGTATGGAAGTTAGACGCTCCGGGTTATGGGCTGCTGACCTTATGAAGTTCTGATATCAATAAATAAAGTTATTATTCATTCAAAATATTTCCCCGATTCTGATTGGCTAAAAGCACAAGCATAACTCACCATAACCAGCTACTGATGACCAAATTTGGAAGAATTTTGCGAGTAATCAACCCGATGACGTCAAAGTGCAGCTTCCTTGCAGGTTAATGCACCGTTAACCGAGAAGACCTGGGACGAGGTTGAGTTGTTTTAATTGTGAAAACAAAAATGGCGGACATTTCACTCGTTTTAAGAGTAAGAACTAGGCGAAAAAATAGCTAAAAACATGGCAAGAACAGCAAGAAGACAACTCGAAGGTTGGAGATTACCGGGGCTTTTATTTTCCAAAGGCCCTTTTTGAGGGGCTTATTTTTGGAGGGGCTTATAAACGGAGGGAAGTTTGCGTTTCAAAATCGGCTGGGCTTATACTTGGAAGGAAATTTGCGTCTCAAAATCGATTGGGCTAGCTTATAGTTGAAAGGAAATTTACGTCAGTAATTTGCAGAAAGTTTTTACTGAAACTCGCCTTGAGGACGTAGACCTTTCTAAAACGTGGCCCTACAAATACTTTGTCCATATGGACCGAGGAAATCAAGGCCAAAAGTGAAGAGGAACCACGCAAACAGCAATTAACTTTGACACTTTCTGACTACAAACACTTGGCAGACATGAAATAGTTCTTTGGCAAATACAAAAATTTATATGTTACTGTACCGTTTTTGCTTATTTTGTATTTGAGGGCACTTTCCAAGTACAAGCCCCCAGGGGCTTATATTCGGAGGGGCGATTTAACGGAGGGTTTTTTGCGTTACGAGTTTGAGGGGCTTATATCTGGAGGGGCTTATTTTCGGAACTTTACGGTATTTGCGGAGCTGAACAACCCTAAACGTGCACTATCGATGACGAACTTAACATCGATGAAGGTAAGCATGTTTTAGCTATGTTTTTAAACTAGGAATTATTTTGAATGAATAATAAAACAATTATTGAATTCGGCTTTCGTATAATATGAAGAATTATGGAGATCGAGGAGGGTGTTATCGATAACACCACGATAACACCTACCTCGATCTCCATAATTCTTCATAAGATACTCAGCCTCATTCATAATTGTTAAATAATTTGCAAAAAGTTCAACTTGTTGCTAAACAAAACCATAGTCCCCTGAGATCGGTATTTTTCCATCCGCTTTCCGCCGTCTGCAAGTATCTGATCCTCGTTTTAAGGAATCCCCGGTTTCAACCTTACGGTTTGCAATGATACCTTTTTTTGTAATTTATGTCATGTTCATTCCCACGTTCTTTTTCGAACCTAATAGCTTCTGCGCAACGTACTAGTTTTTACATTCAGCGAAATTCACTACTTTCAGACATAATTGTTTACCCTGGGTACCAGACCTTTTTCTCGCATGCAGCGGGAATTTTCGGTGTTGTTCGCGCGGGTCACTATAAAGACTTGACAGAAACCGGAAACCGCGCTTGAAAACTCTCTGGCACCCAGGGTAATAATTGTTTTGCCCTCTCTAAGTTTTTGAAGGAAATTAAAGACCGGCCTTTGTTCTATTGGCAAGCAAGACACGGAACTCTTTCTGTTGGCCAGAACCTCTTTAGAACCTCTAATCTGATAGGTTCTTGTTGGCCCGAAGCTCTATTGTTTCAGAGTTTGGGTTCATTGTTAGTTTTGATTGGGTTAGGGCTATCTATTGTTTTCTAAACCAATCCTGTGAGCCGTACTTAGAGCTTCCGGCCCACCCAACTCTTTGCGCGATGTTACACGCGTTGCGGGTAATCAAAATTATAATGGCATTCAGTAAACAAGACTGTTCCCAGTCCCCTATTTTTCGTAAGATCGTTTTAATATATCACATTACCTTAAAAACCCTGTCGTAGTAAAGTCGACAGTAAACAGGCCAAATATCAAGTTATGTGTTGGTGATTATGACTTCAAAGTGGAAAAATCAACGAAACGAAAAGAAAAGAAAACGGGTTTGGCGGAGGATGATGACAGAAAATCTAACCAGGACAAATGCAGCGAACGCACAGAGATCCAATCCACCTCGAAAGAGCCGAAAGGAGACAAAACATTAAACAAAAAACGGTAATTATCGAGGCAGCTTGGCTGGACGGTTAAAACGCCAGCTTGATTTTTTAAAGTCTTTCAGTGGACAGTCGTGGGCTTTTTTTAAAATAGCCAACAAATTTGTCTTTGTCAGCTGGGATAGGAAAAGGAAGTTAAAAAAAAAAAATATGATCTGTTCAAATAAGGAACTAATTTGACTGAAATTACAGTTCTAGGCTTGATTTCGTGTTCAGGTGGGAACAACGTTTTATTTCCCAAAAAGTTGTCACACCAATTGATTTATTGCTTTTGCACTGAGTATTTGCGATATACTTAAAGATGCGGGTATAAAACGTTGACCAACTCCTATAAAATTGGATTTCAGAGGCAGGCAAATCTTTCATTTTTTTGGTTTATTTTACTTATGTTGGATTTGTTTAGCGCCACCTTCAAAATGGAAAAAGGTACTTGAAAAGATTATCGACATGGCCGACGGTCAGTACTATATTGTCTTTATGGATTTCGTGGCGAACGTAAAGGAGGCACACACTTGTATGGTCGAAGAACTTAAGCACACTTGCCTAAAGTGTCATGGCAAAGGAATGAACGAAGAAGAGAAACTACAGACAATGTCCAAGTTCAGGTGTGATTTGTGAAACAACACCCCTACTCATTTAGCAAGAAATAACAACAACAAAAACCACTACTACTACTACTACTACTGCCACTGCCACTGCCACTGTCAATTAGCGATACTGTTATAATTTAAAAGCGCTCTCAATTGTCTTGTTTTCTACCATGGAGATATCATGGTGCGAAAAAAAATAGAAGAGGACCATCATTCTTAGCTGATGGTCAGCAACTTTTTTACAGGAATCTCGAGAGTCAGTTTCTCGTAGCGTCCGAAGCGTACCAGGTAGGGACGCACGATGACCACGTAAATCTAGTGTGCAGGATTGGATGCCCACGAACCCGTATTGGATGGATACACGAGTTTGGTCGAGCAGGACGGAATGGGGAAATTGCTAATGGTAAGCTTTGACGGCTATTTTGAAACAATCTTGAGATTCGAAGAAAAAGCAAAAAGCCGCTAAAGTATAAATATAGGACGCAGAAATTACATGTATGAGGCCACAAGCTTTTACCCTGTTCATAAGAACGCCTATCTTTCACTTGTTGGACTTAAATAAATAAAGAGCTTACCGCCATGGATCATGAGAGGATTCGATGAGCCATTAGCTCCAAGCCTTGGCAAAGTTAATATGTAAATATCAGTACAACAAATAGCGGAGTTCTGGCGTGCGAAGCACCATGGGTAAGAAAATCTACCCAAAAAATTTGGTAATCAAGTGACCGTACACCGCCCGGCCTCAACAGTCTATTTGTTCAACTATTGCCTTTACATATAGTTTTTTTTACGTCTGAACAGGTATAATCTATTGTAACGAGTTCAGAGATGATCGGCGCCTCATAACGTGGCTCAGAGGTGTGGATTCAGTAGAAAAAGAGCAAATCATGCGTCAATATGCAGAATCGTGGAGGTAAGCTAGATTACCTTTAAAATAGGAGTTTCTATTGTCGAAGAAGAATGAATTATTAGATCTTTGGCACATATAGATATGGGACTTTTAATTCAAATATTAATATTAATTTTTTTAAAACAAACGAAAGTCTCCTTTGTGGGAAGCAGGTGTTTCATTGGAAATTAATCAGTTGCGTATCTAAACACGTCTTTTTTTCTTATAAATAAGTAAGTATTCGGGAAGGGTAGCTATTATAACATTATTTTTTGGTTTAAATCATTTAGATATGTTTACTGCACATTGACGGGTGAATGCATGAGGGCCTTTCTTACGGGTTGGTTTGGAGAAGACCCAGACCTGCCACTAGAATACAAGGAAACTTGCGGTGAGTCATGTGATTCAAACGTAGACAATGATTACAACGTCAAAGATGATTTCCTCTTGCTGTTAGAGGTGGTTGGTCAACTCAGAGAACACAGCCGGGGGGGGGGGGTACTCCCGCGAATTTTGGATAGGGGTGTGCCGCGAAGGTTCGTGAACCCTAACACTATTTATGGACTAAGAAAGCGAAAACTGATACCGTTTTTAAGGCCGAAAGCCGAAAAATGACACCCTATTCAAGGAAAAAACAAAATTATTAATAGCATGAAAAGGAAAACTTTAAAAAAAATGTTCGTTCAGGCGGGCGTTTTTACACTCCAGCGTTAGATAATACAAATAAGCTATCCTATCTAAGGACCACACCAGGGACACAGAGACAAAAGGGTCAAAAAAGATACCCTATTTAAGGACCGAGAGCCTCAAAAACCATACACTATTCCGCGGCACGTACCTATATCGCCCATATATGGGAGTACCCCCCCCCCGGGATAGGCATTCATAAATTACAAAATGGACAAGTAGCTAGCTGTCTTAATTAAGCGCCCTTGAACCGATAATTTAAGGCCTTTATGATATGTTGTCAGTACAAACGAAAGATAACCCCCAATTTCTTATCAATTTTCTTCTATGTCTGAGTAACAAAGGAAACTCCCTGCTTCATGTCATATGCCTCCATAAAAAAGAAAAACAAATCAAACTAACAAACTAACAAAAACTGGCAAACCAGCAAACATTTCTATACGTTGCTTGCTTTTATTATGTTTAAATCCACTTTTCGATCTATTTTAGATAATTAACTGGCTGAGAGGATCGGCAACAGCTTCTAAAGACGGCGGAATGCGGATATTGTCTCACGAGTCTCAATCATTCGGAAAAGGGATCGGGAGGAGCATTGCTGAATGGAGCAGAATCTTGCGTCAAGCCGTTGGAAACGCCACGCCAAGCCAAGTCCCCGAAAGTTGCCGATCTCTGTTGTCAAAGATTTACAACAGGCATTACTGTTGGACCCTTCCAAAAAGGCAAAGGATCTACAGAAAGGTATCCCATCATAAATCGTTATTGCTTTATCGTACCATATACGAATTATACCTGTAGGTATTTGAACCCAAACACCTTTATAAAGTACTTTAGTTACTGGACCCTTTAGACCACTTACCTGCCTAGGTGACGAACTGTTTTTTGATTGAACTTACAGGACACGGTATTTCTTATGTTCCTGTCGAAAGAAGTATTGTTGCTGCCAATATAGATAAAGTAAGGAGGGTGAGAAATGTCGCTTTAAAAGGTTCTGGAAGTGTTGACGGAGAAGTTCACTTGATGAGTAAAATCATCAATTTTTAAAAAGAAATCCAACAAGAGGTGGAGAAACCGATACACAAAGCGCGTAAGTACAACTATAAGGTTTAGCAAATGCTGACATGATAAACGGGGTTTTCTTTTTAACCCGGGATATGACAGATATGACTGGCAAATACTCTGGCAGACTTACCAGTCAAATAATTTCTCCGCTAATATATTTTTAATATTTTGATTTAATATAAATTAAATTATATGATTGCATAAAAATGAGGTATATCTCTTTAAAAAAAAAGCTTTAAAAGTTTAAGAAGTAATTATCATTACACAATTTCAAAGAAAAAATTGAACTAAATAAAATAAAATAAACCTAATTTGAAACCCCTTCGAAAATAGTCTATTTTACAGACTATGAAAAGGCAGATGAAAAGCCAGACAGTCTCCACATTTATAAACCTCTTAGCAATAACGCAACTTCTTATTATCATTTTTTTTTAGACTGTCCAAGCTATCCCAAGAAAAAGGATGCGTTAATTTTTTGACAAACTTCTAATAAAAGCAAACTTATCAATTTATTTACTTCTTTCTTTATTCAAATAACTAAAACCAAACTGCCCCACCTCTCCCGGCCAATTTAATTGTTCAAGTTTTTTTTGTTGTTGTTGTTGTCATTTTCGTTCCAAAAGAGACTTTCAGAATATTGGTATATGTCTATTACTATTTGTTATTTTCAACAGACGAGTCCACGAATGTAGAAATGGCAGAGAGAATCAAAGGTCTCTCGCTTCCCTATCCTATGAGGAAAACACCCTTCATATTTTCTGGAGACTTTCGAGCTGCTTTCTTTATGAATCCCCACCAGGCCCGTTTGTTTGCTTCAGGTGAACATTTAAACGTCGATTTGACATTTACTGGGAATAGCTACATGCCATACTTGATTAATGTATTGACGTTTGACCTCGACACATTGCAGTGTGAGTATACTTATAGCTACATCTTCGGGTGTACAAGGCGCTAACCGCGCTTTTGCATTGAAATGACATTAATTTGTTATCTCTTAATGCGTGTCAAAACTATTATTGCGTTACTTTTTTAGTAGATTGGAATAAATTTGTTGTTGTTGCTGACAAGAAACGATAGCTAACCAGATACATATACGGCTGATATTCTCTTAGTTTGCATACCATTATGACAAAAAATATATTACCTTACACTCGAAAAAAATATACCCTGTAACAGTTAAATCCACCATTTCACATAGATCATAATGCATCTTGTTACCCTCCCCTCGCCCCAAATTTTGCAAGACCATTGTTTTCAATTTCTCCTGGGTATTACAGTCCTCCCAAATAAAAATTGAAGACAATGGGTATGCAAAATTTAAACACGGTGCATTCTGGCCTATGTGAAAAAAGTGAATGGTCAAGCGACAAATGCATATAAGTATAACTGTAATGTTGGAAATATAAGCGTGATTCATTTCACGTTCTCTCTCTTCATGCAGGGACTCCCGTAGCACGATGTCTTTTAAACAAACAGAATGGCGAACCCCATGGGAAAGTTTTTAGTGAAATTTTCTCCTCAGTCAACCATCAATATGAATATTTTAACAATGGAGAAAGGATCGAAGCGATTACGGTTGATTTTTCTGACGCCGAAGTTAACGGACTCGAAGAGCCCCTCGGAAAGGATATGACGAGTAAAATTCTTCGTGGGTGCAAGGTGAACTTGATTAGTTTCATTGAAACCCAAATCAACTTTGTTTTCCCTTCACCGGTCCCACACGCCCGAGATAACGTGTAAACATAAAATTTAATTTTAGACATTCCAAACATATATCATTGCCACAACAATGTTAATGCAAAAATAAAATAAGTACAAAATTGTGGTCAATGTCCAATAAACATATAATTATGTTATATTATTTTCGTTAGGCAATTTTGAAGGACTAGGGTATCTTCAGTTAGCTCCATCATAGTCGAATCGTCTACTTCCAATCAGAAGTTCACTAGTATTTATTAATAAACAAATGAATTGTATTTTTCCTCGGAGAAAGGAACGAAAAAAAAAAACGTAAAGAACAAACAAACAAACCAATTTTTTTTTGGTTTTGTTTTGTTTTCAGGTACATTGGTCAAGTTCATACAAGAGGGTAAGCCACCCTGTCTGCTCAAATAAAGATGAGATAACAACCTTCCAGCACCTGGCGTAGAAAATAGAAGATGTAAAGAAGAAGGAAGAAGTTCTCCTGCTTTTCGACGTTTTGGCGGGTCAAAAGCACGTCAGCAGTGCGGCAGCTTTCATAACTGATAAAAAGTTAAGAGAGGGAACACAATTGATAACTAATTCCTCCTGGAAGAAAGCAAAGGCCTGGAAGGAATGGTGGACCAGAGAGAGGCATTTATGTAAGCACTAATTTTTCATTGATATGCTAAAACAAAAAATCTGTACACTTCCATCTGTACACGCCAACATCACTGGAAATTTTTAATTATCTTCACTTGCTCTGTTGGAAAAGGCCAGAAAAGCTTCATCTACAGACAGAGAATGAGGAAAGGCGTCACATTCTCTTTTAAATCTATTTTAGAGTTTAAAACATTTCAATTTCCTGTTTATTAGGCATGTTTACAACTGCTTTTACTCTCATGGATGAGGAGCATGATGGGATCATGCTACTGCAAAGACGAAATCAAAAGTACGTAGTTATTGCTAAAATTAGTTACTTTTCAGTGCTATTGGGATTACTGTAAAGTTGAATTCAGGAATTAGATGAAAGGGCCTTTACACAAGACAAGTCAAGAAATTTATTATCCTATTGTTGCTTACAACTTCTTGGCACGAAGTACTCATGGACAATACACCTACCTGGAAAGCCGGGGGAATATGACATTGTCATGAATGGCTAAATAAATGGATTGCTGCCAATAACGAACATTTTATTCCAAGAAAACTATTAGACATGAAATTTACTGTTATGATAAGATTGTAAGATTTAGAAAATCAGTAAAAAAGCACACAGTGGCGTCTAATGTGTCCTAAACTAAATGAAATCAAAGCTTTTTTTCCAGGTCCACCAGACGCTTTAAAAACCAAGCGAAAAAAAAAAAAAAAAAGAGAAGGTAAAATTGTTTATTTGGATTTGTTAATGTCAATTATAGTGATCTAACGAGGGAAACTGGTTGTCCTTATATAAAACTAAATTTAAGAACGTATTGAGGAGAAAGTAGCGATGCAGACATATAAATGGAATTTCTTTACCATCGAAAATCAAGAAGTGGGGAATTTGGGCATGTCAGCTAAAATAATTGGGCTCCGCACCTATGTCTATAGTGCACTGGATAATTTGTATACAATTTTCCATGCCATGGAGTGCTTCTAATCCATTGCTCAGCAATGTGTTACGATGGAAATAGATAACTTTCGTTCTGTTAAAATTTACTGTAGCTATAACCGCGAGGGCACAAGGCATAATCTGCAGTTAGGCATTCATTTTTGTTAATTCATTTGATGGTGGTTTGTGTGTTTTTCTTTTCAACAGACAACGGCTTGCTGATAAATAGACGAGTGAACGTAGAAACAGCTGTTGCCGACGGGAACTGGGAGGGGTGGTTCGTGGGAACTATTATAAATTACAACAAGCAGACCAAGCAGTATAAGATTTCTTTCGATGTTTTCGATAGCACTCACAATATTGTTGTTCCGGGCGATGAAATTCCATCGGAGGACATTGAACTCTTGTAAATCCCTATTTTTGTCCAGGCCTTGGTTCCTTATAAAAGTTTGTTGTTATATAAGCAAAGTATGGTTCTCTAGTGAATAAATATTAAGTAAATAAATGAAAAACCCAAAATTTAAAAAGAATATATACTCAAAACAATATTAACCCTCTTCAGACTGGGCATTTCTTGTTTCCTGCCACCGGGTTGAGGGGGGGGGGGGGGGGGGGGACTCATGCACTTTTTGCCCGTTCCACCATTTACTAGTAAATAGTGAACAAATACTAGTAAATGAAAATCTCGCTAACAAGTCAAGCCTTTTTGGCCCGTTCCACCATTTACTAGTAAATAGAGTCAAGATACTAGTAAATGAAAATCTCGCTAAAAAGGTCAAACCTTTTTCGCCCATTCCACAATTTACTAGTAAATGAGAATTTCGCTAAAAGTCACGGTTTTTTTCGTCCCTTCCACAATTTACAAGTAAATAGTGTGAAGATACTAGTAAATGAAAATCTCGCTAAAAAGTCATGCCCTTTTGGCCCGTTTTACCATTTATTGGTAAATGTAATTTATATACTAGTAAAGGAAAATCTCGCTAAAAGGTCAAACCTTTTTCGCCCATTCGCACAATGTACTAGAAAATGAAAATCTCGCTAATAAGTCAAGCCGTTTTGGCCCGTTCCACCATTTACTAGTAATTAGTGTCAAGATACTAGTAAATGAAAATGTCGCTAAATGGTCAAGCCTTTTTTGCCCATTCCACCATTTACTAGTAAATAGTGTTAGGATACTAATAAATGAGGACCCCCCCGTTTCACAATTTACTAGTAAATAGTGTGAAGATACCAGTAAATGAAAATCTCGCTAAAAGGTCAAACCTTTTTGTCTATCCACAATTTATAATTACCAGTACATAGTGTCAAGATACTAGTAAATGAAAATCTCGCTAAGGTCAAACCTTTTTTGCCTATTCCACAATTTACTAGTACATAGTGTCAAGATACTAGTAAATGAAAATCTCGCTAAAAGGTCAAACCTTTTTCGCCCATTCCACAATTTACTAGTAATTAGTATCAAGATACTAGTGAATGAAAATCTCGCTAAAAGGTCAAACCTGTTTTGCCCATTCCACAATTTACCAGTAAATAGAGTCAAGATACTAGTAAATGAAAATCTCGCTAAAAGGTCAAACCTTTTTCGCCCATTCCAGCATTTACTAGTAAATAGAGTCAAGATACTAGTAAATGAAAATCTCGCTAAAAGGTCAAACCTTTTTTGCCTATCCACAATTTACCAGTACATAGTGTCAAGATACTAGTAAATGAAAATCTCGCTAAAAGGTCAAACCTTTTTCGCCCATTCCACAATTTACTGGTAATTAGTATCAAGATACTAGTGAATGAAAATCTCGCTAAAAGGTCAAACCTGTTTTGCCCATTCCACAATTTACCAGTAAATAGAGTCAAGATACTAGTAAATGAAAATCTCGCTAAAAGGACAAACCTTTTTCGCCCATTCCACCATTTACTAGTAAATAGAGTCAAGATACTAGTAAATGAAAATCTCGCTAAAAGGTCAAACCTTTTTCGCCCATTCCACAATTTACTAGTACATAGTGTCAAGATACTAGTAAATGAAAATCTCGCTAAAAGGTCAAGCCTTTTTCGCCCATTCCACAATTTACTAGCAAATAGTGTGAAGATACTAGTAAATGAAAATCTCGCTAAAAGGTCAAGCCTTTTTCGCCCATTCCACCATTTACTAGTAATTAGTATCAAGATACTAGTAAATGAAAATGTCGCTAAAAGGTCAAACCTTTTTTGCCTATTCCACAATTTACTAGTACATAGTGTCAAGATACCAGTAAATGAAAATCTCGCTAAAAGGTCAAGCCCTTTTCGCCCGTTTTACCATTTATTAGTAAATGTAATTTATATACTAGTAAATGAAAATCTCGCTAAAAGGTCCAGCCTTTTTTGCCCATTAAGAAAATCAATGAAAAATATTTTTTACTGTTAAAGAATTTTGAAAGAAAATTTTTTACTAGTACTAGTAAAGTTTTTTAAAAACTTAAAAATATGAATTCCCGGTGGCTTTGATTGCCGGCTAAATTTCACAGTCAAAACATTTGTCACGTTCAACTAGTAAAAGTCGGTTCGTAAACAATCGTAGAAAGAATGTTCAGCTAGTTTTTGTAACGAATACGTTAAATTTGATCCTTCAATTTACATTGTTACTAAAGTATAAACGTTTCTTAGCAAAATTCTTGAATAAAGGTTATTTGATTTGTTAAATGACCAAATAAATAGAGGCAAGCAAACAGGTACAAGTCATAAGCTTGTGGTATCTCCTTCAGCGTCAACTCATCGGGTAAGTGAATCGGTATACTAGATTTTAAGTAGCACTTGAGATTTTGATATGTTCTTGATTTAGTACACAATTATAAGTCGCCACCCTAAAACTAAGTGGCCAAGGTTTCGTAAAACTTCATTTTCGTTTTTTCTCTGAGAATATAAAAAAGAAAGAAATATAAATTCGTGAACTCGTCAATGAACTAATTTTGTTTGATTTTCCTGCTCGATATTTACCATGAAGTCTTTGTTAAGTGGTATGGTTGGTTGTTCTTTAGGCTATTAAATTATTTTTAAGACATGTATAATGTTTAGTTTTTTCGTACGTGAACGATGATATTTTTGGTTCCCAACACCGAATTCTACTAATAGGCTTCCCTTTTTTTTGAGTTAAGAATTAAGACGTTAAGATTAATTTTGCTAAGGCATTGTCCTGCGAAAAACTCATTTTAGAACGTTTTAACCCGTTCGCGATCAATGCATTGGTTGTTCTTTTACCTTGGTAAAAATCTTTGATTCTTGGTTTCCATGAGTCGTAATCAACATTTTCATCTAAAAATCGTCAATCCTTCTAAGATTTTAGTTTCAGGTGAGAGCGTTTTATCTTTCACCCTTTTAGATGAGACAGTTTGTTTTGTGATAGAGCACTTTTGAAAGGTACTATGTAACGAGGAGTTGCTTTTTTAGGTCAATTCTCTGCTGAAGACATTTCCTAGTACCTTCACCCATTCAGAAAATGTCCCTGTAGGTCTATGAATACAAATTTCATCAGAGAGCACTAATCGTAATAATCTTTCGTGGTGAAATCTGAAGGCACAGCTGCGTTAAAACTTTGAAAACGGTGGTTGATGTCTTGCAAATTATAATTTTCACAAAGTGCGACTAGCTCAGTTTGCAGATTTTAATATGACATTTTTTTATTTTGGTTTTCAGTTTCAATTAATACCATTCTCTTGGCAAAGAAGAGTGAAAGATGAAAAGCCTGTTTTTTATCGTGGTTCTTAGTCTCCTGGCTGTGGGTTATGCCAGGGACCAGGAAGCAGAACTTGCAATCCGAGGTATAAAGGTGATCGTACTAAGAAGGGGTCCGAGGGCTACTCCCACGTGTTCGGAAATGGCACGAAATACTACTAACACTTTTTCTTTGATAACTAACAGTAATATGAGTTTTATACTTTTAGCTATTTCAATATCCTGAGAGGAGGCTAAACAGTTCTATTTTCACATCGCCTCATTCAAGGACTGGACAACGTTTTGACTTTTCAAGCTGCCTTGTCCCCGCCGCGTATCGCCTTTCTCGCGTGGAGCGATTTTCACGCGCGCTCGCGTTTCGCTCGCTCTACTATCCCTGAGGAAAAATGGGGACTACTCGTTTATATAATCTACTCGTGATCACTTTCTGGGGGATATTTGAGTTAATAAGCCATGAACTTCCTCCCGTAAGGATCAGTTTACTGTTTTAATTTCAAAATTTGGTCAGTGAAGAAAAAAAGAGAGACATAAAAAGATTGTGTTCATTAGAAACTTTGATCGCCGGGAATGAAGTGCCAAAATGTCTCTGAGTAATCAATAATTAAAGAGCTTCTGAAGTGGAATGGTTCCGTCTCCTGAAAACGCTTTAAAAATCGAATAAAAAATCTTGGCAGTAGGGAAACATAAGGTACAACAACCCAATCCGCCCCGGCCGACTCCTTCCCCCCCGGTCCACTCCTTTCCCCCGGCCGACTCCTTCCCCCGGCCCTCCTTTCCCCCTGGCCCCTCCTTCCCCCGGCCTACTCCTTTCCCCCGACCCACTCCTTCCCCCCGGCCCCTCCTTTCCCCCCGGCTCCTCCTTCCCCCGGCCCCTCCTTTTCCCCTGGCCCCTCCTTCCCCCCGGCCTACTCCTTTCCCCCCGACCCACTCCTTCACCCCCCCGGCCTCCCCCGGCCCCTCCTGTCAAACTGTACGCGAAAGGGATAAGACATCAATTTGTATTTTAACAGGAAATTCTTGTAAGAATCAAGGAGGCAAGTGCGTCAAAGGTCAATCCTGCCCAAACGGTTATACAGCATTGGGATACTCCTGTGGGAAAAGGAAGAGGAGCCAGAAAAGAACGTGCTGCTCAAGTGTGTAGTAATAATTAGCCTAATAGTATGTAATAATAATTAGCCTAATTTAAATACTATATTATATTAGTAATAATTAGCCTGTGCAATCAAATAGCGACGATTGAAAATAGGATGAAATACACGCCGTTTTTGTCCAACTTCTAAGAATTTTTTAGCCTTTATACCTATTCATGTCATGGGTAACAAATTCAAGGCCTAAGTTTTGGCTTAATGGCACTATTCACTAACTTTTTCGAAAAAATACCTGTTAGAATTCTCGATGCGATGTTTCGTGTTTTTAGGTTTTCGAAAGAGTCTTTTAAGGGCCCTGACATCTTCATTCATAACCGGTTTAAAACCTTGACGCCATCTTGGCCCTGAGACGTACTGAACGTCATTGTAATAGGGACCTTAAGATCCGACGACGGCCACGGCAACGGAAACGACACAAAAGCAATAGGTTTAATTAGCAAAACAACAAATTTTGCACCAATTTTGCACGTGCATCGCGCTTTTTTTGTACATTTCTTTGCCGTCACTGCACGACTACGACGTGAAAATGCCTAATTTCACGATGTACAGAGGAAGTACACAACTGCAAGCGACGTCGAAATTTCCTCTCTCTTTCTGAACTTGCATATGGTTCTTAGGAATTCATATTTAGCAGGGTTCGCCTACATTTGAAGTCTATTTGACAAAGTTAGTTACTTGGATTAATCGCGATTAAGATTGAAAGAACGCGATTTCACTTTTTCAGCGACGTTTTCTTTGTCGTCGCCGTCCTCGGATCTTAAGGTCCCTATTATAGCAATTTTGTACTCGGCTTCCGATGTGAAATTTTATTTTTCGCGCCAAAATTAAGGAGTAATTTGCCACCAATGATGTTGCCTTTTATTTCCTTCATTGTTTCCTTGATTAAGACGCTTTTCATTCCAAGTTTGAAGTTATAATAGAGTACAGTGCACGTATCACAAATGATAAGAATACACTGAGCAGCATAACGAAACTGGACCATTATTTTTGGAGTTCAATCGATGCGAAGACACGTTTTAGCTTTTTAAAAAAGTTAGCAATTAGGATGGCATAGTTTCTTAGCAAGATAGTTATATGTTCGTGGGCGTACCTTGGCCTAGACCCAGACCTCGTTATTGCACACCGGCCGATTGAGACGTCAGCTAAATGCATTAACCGAGAGGGCCTGGAAAGACGCCGACAGGGACTAGGCAAAGCAATAGGCAAAGCGTACGTAATTAGTGTTTTGTAGCTAGACTTGAGACTTCCGGCCGCGCGGAAGGGTTGAGGTAAGCTTTCAGAAGACATTTGAAAAGGTATCGGAAGGACGGAGAACTATGTAAGCCAACTGATATCCTTATTTTCCAGCACAATTCGCAGTAATATGTAATGAATTGATAACTATTCTATCACAAGCAGTTTGAGCAGTTTCTCAGCTGCGAAAAAAGTGAAAAATGCTTATGACAAGGTTCGACGTTTTCCAAACTTTATTTCATTAGAAAGACTTACAAGGAAAATTATGTTTTGTATCTCGGTTTAGTTTGTCGAGAGGGCTGGGTTGAAAACGGAAATCAGTGCTACTTTACACTCCCCGAAAAAAAGGAAGCATTTGTGGGACTTTACCTATGCAAGCAACTTGGAGCAACCCTGCCAATCATCAAATCAGCCGAAGAGAACGACTTCCTTGTGAGTCTGACGGAGGGAAAAGGTGATCCACGGCTTGGAATGATAGGACCCAACGGCGACAACGTCTTTGAATGGCTCGACGGGACTGCTGTGGCCTTCTCTTCATGGAATAGCGGTGAGCCTAACGGTCCTGAATTAGAGAACTGTGGGATGGTGTACGTCAGCGGAAGTGGCAGAGGAAAGTGGAATGACGAACCCTGTTCGAATCCTCGAGTTATTGTTTGCCAGATGGAGAAGAAATGAGTCTGGCCCACAGCTGCTGTGAAGCTACTGAAATTGTAGGCTAGTCTCACGTCTCACATGTAGAATTATAGTGGGCGATCAATACTCAGTGAGCCAAACCTGACAAAGAAATAAAGGTGTTGGGAGATATTATTTGTTGTAGACAATCATTTCTTTGTATTTTCGAATAATGAATTTAATTTAGCTGTCAGTATCTCAACAGGCATCGCACCCAACATTACCATCCACCAATGCCAATGATCATTTAACTTAAGGGAGTGATTTTGGATATATCTCAGGGAACCCATACGCCGTCCTATTAAGCCAAATTTACGGGGGCGCACCAAACGACCTTTTTTCTGTAAAATTACAACCGTAAACCTTTATGCCTGAAATTATTTTGTTAATCATCCCTTATACTCAAGAAAATTAAGGTATGGGTCTTCTATTTAATTCCTCAAAAACGGAGGGTGTGGTTTAACTTTTTAAGCTTTCAATATAGCGTAAAATAACTTATGCACAGACTACCTGGGTGTAACCTCAATAACTTTGAATTATGGTTGCAGTCATTAATTGTCATGTGACCTATCAAGGCTATTTTTAGCTCAAAATTCTATTTGGCAAAATGGCACCACTTTTCATTACTTTCTGGAAGTTGCAGTGATCGTCATAGTGATGAGACTAACAGGTATATCATTTCTGTGGCCGGGCCTTTTAAGTTAATCTTTTAGAAAGGGACGAAATTCCGCGAAAACCGTTTGATGAGGGGACTGGGCACTAGTACAAAATTCCGTTTATTTATACTTACAATAATTTATTCAACAAAGCCCGGGCACAGATGTTTAGTCGAGGGCTAGGGCTACAAAATAGAGTCACCAACTCTTACCCTCCAAAGATAGCAAGATGCAATCAACGCTGGCCTGCGAAAACATCCGTTTCTCTTCGCTCTTCGCCGCTGGGGACGTTTCCTCCGCGCGAAACGTCCCCAGCGGCGAAGAGCGAGGAGAAACGGATGTTTTCGAAGGCCACAAACAAGCAAGAAAAAAAATATACAACGAAAAGAACCTCTCCTACATACACAGCACATAAAGGATAAATAAACATAGTATTTGAGTGAGAATTTCTGCAACGCAGTACTTCGATGGAAGAGTTACCCCTCTCCCCCACCCCCGTATCCATTTTCCTTATTTGAGCTCGACCCTTTTTTGTTACGGGGTATTAGTCACAAATAAATCCCGGGGACAAGATTCATCCCGTTCTATTGACCGTAAATCTCCTTGTAAGTTCCCTCTTAATAAGTCCCCTTCTCCGAGAATAAGCTCCCCCCATTTCAGGGGGATAATTAAAAAGTTTTGGAGCCCCCCCCCCCCCCCCTCTCTTTTAAGCCCTCTCTCCCTTTCCCTCCTTAATATTCACAGCCAAATCAGTCATAAATGATGGACTGTACACTTTTGGCTGTTCATGGGGACTGATTCGGCATCGATTATTCTTCGATCCCTAGCCTTTCATGTCCCTTAGTGGTGGTACTTAATTATAAATTCGCGAGTTTAACGAGAGAGTATTGCGCGGGTGACCTCGTCCCCAGGGCGCTTTTCCCTGGCTCAGTTGGCTTCCTGGGGACGAGGTTGTTTCGCGGGGTTTAATTTTCGCTATTTTAACAGGTAAATATGAAAAAAGGGCGTTAAATTTCACGAATTAGGCGATCTCAACTTCATTGTCTTTTTTTAAAAATCTGAACCTTAAAAAAAAAAGAATATAAACTGGAACAAGCAATGTGTGAAATCTTTGCACTGCTAACGTTAATTCACAACGGAAGACACAAAATGGAGCTTACCAGTAAAACCTTTCAGCAATTTCTGTTTGTCAATACATAACGTCGCTATCACATGTTTGTTGTTATTTGAATTTTCTCTATGGGTATTTAATTTCGCATTTTTTTACAATCGCTTAAAACGCGAAATATTAAGTCCCAATAAGGTATTTGAGTTTTTCCACTTTGCGTTCTGGTTCTTTAATGGAAAATTGATGCCATTTTCTGGTTATTCGAAAAGGCAATATAGCACCATGTTACGCTAAATTAAATAAGCCCATCCCCGCAATCTTTTAAGCCCCCAACTGCCCCTACCCCCCAGCCTAGCAAAAAAGGTTTCTTAGGGCCAGGGGGGCTAATATGAGGATTTTCTCCCGCGGACGCGTGGAGTTGTGGGATTGTTTTTAACAAACGCGTTTTACAATGTAACTGATTTTTTCGCCGTTTATTGACGCTCGATTTTGACAAAGGTAAGTTAACAGCGGCTTTACGAAGAACATTTTGTGCATTCTATAAAAGAGTGCTAGCCAAAGCGGAAAGAATGACATTGTTTGCATTGATCTCAGGTAGAAAATATTCTTAGCATGATCCTGTGATTCGAAGTGATAATCATAAGGGAAAACACTTTTACAAAAGGACAATGGAATAAAGGTAAGAAGGCTTTATTTTCTATGATTTTGATTTCTTTCTTTTTCTCTTTGTCGGTCTTGTGTCTTTCCTTGATCCTATGTCCCCTGTGAATTTCTTTTGATCATGGATCATGAGATTGATCGTGACTTGCAGGAGCGCCCATTTTAGCTGTCGATCAACCGAAATCGAATCATGTCCAGCGTGTAATCACGGGCTCACTTCACAGATTGTTGAAATTTAGAACTCTACTCGTCTTTGACTCGATAATTGCGAAATTTTTCTATATCGCGAGCTAAAACTTACTGAAAATGAACTGCTGACTATTGACTGTGTATAACCACGTGGTCCTCGCGGGCAGGGGGGAGCGCACAACCGCCTAGAAATTGTGAGAGATTGCCTTGGAATCCTCAGCATTCAACTGCACATTGCAACCCTACTCTAGGCTATTTGTTGTATAACAATCAGCAAAAAAAAGCACATTATGTAGTCCGTGCGGGGTTAAATTCTGAAAAGTGCCAATGCCTTGAATTTTAACACAAGACAGAAGAAATGGTGACGATGGCAAGAAGATTGGTTGGAACTGCGACTTCAATTACCAGGCCCCAGTTGTTCAAAAGCGGGATAGCGCTATCCACCATGCCAGATAATTCACTTTGCAACAGATATTAGTGTTAGGGAAACTAATTGTGCTATCCAGGGGATTAAGTGATTCGGTAAAATCCAACTAGTGGTCTATTATCAATGCTGCATTCTGATTGGCTGAGCTACTACTAGGCTATATGTTATAGTGCACTAGTATTTAAAAAACGCCAGCTTTGAAAACCAAAGCAATGGCAATAAGTCTAGCTTTAACTAGCTAAAGTTGTTTTGTCTCGATATTTTTGACCAGTTGGATTTTACTTTATTATTCCTCTCACCTTTCTGGCCTCTGAGTCAATAGCCCATGAGGCCTCAGAACCCATTCGGACTCGAGGAATAATTGTCAATTATCCCGTGGATAGTGCCATCCACACCTTTTGAACAACTGGGGCCAGGATTCTTTAGTAAACTGTTTTCATGTTCAGATCAAGGCTATTGTTTGACAAACCTCAGTGGGATATTTAAATTTAAGCAAATACTTTATACAAAATGATTTCTGGTAGTTGTACTCAACTGATCATTTTATAAAATGCTCCATTGTCAAACACCTCCCCCTCCTCCCAAAGCATACTCCTGGCATTTCCCCTGTAATTCTTCCTGGCGAGTGGGGAGTTTGATGGGAAAGGCATTCCCAGAGGTGAGGTTTTCACTGGTTTTCACAAGCAAAGAGAGTTTGATTTTGGTTGTGTTTAGTCAAGACCATGACTAAGGTGGCAGAGGCTGTGTATGGTTTATCGCGTTACGTGCAGTTTTAGAGTTTTTCCTGATGGAAACTACATTCATAGTTTCTTTTTTTTGCACACACAAACAATTACAATACATTACATTACATTTACAATTCATTACAGGTAACTGTTATCATTTACAAAAAAGAAATAAAAAGAAAAGGAAAGACAAAGTCCACAAAAATACTATAGTTTATATATTAACAATTAAGAGAAGGCTGCCTGCCTTATGGTCCTCCATCACCCATCTGCCCGTTTGTCACTTGCACTTTAATTAACTGTATTGCTCAAATTATATTCTATTCTGAGGGGCATTGTTTAAAAGTAGCCCATTTCTTCCTAAAAGAGGCTAAGTTATTATTATCAAACGCAGTCTGTTTCCAGAGTGATATGAAGGGCAGGAGAGGAGGTTCAAACCAAACGACTTAGCTTGCAACTAAACTGAACGCATGCAGGGCTGTCGAAACAGCAACAAGAAGATTTATTCCAACTATGAATGCAGTGAATGTAGAGAAACAGAACTACATTCATAGTTGGAATAAATCTTCTTGTTGCTGTTTCGATAGCCCTGCATGCATTCAGTTTAGTTGCAAGCTAAGTCGTTTGGTTTGAACCTGCTCTCCTGCCCTTCATGTCACTCTGGAAATTCCAGTTCAGCTTCAGACTTTCCTTAATAAAAATTGCAGCATTTTTGTTGCCATTTTCTTTTATGGAGACTCTTTACTTCTTAGTCTTTAAAGCTGTTTGGGTGTGAAAAATTAATTAATTGATTTCATATTTCACTCATTTATCTTTAAAATACATTGACTATTTCTTGTTTTATTTCTTCATACCAGTTTGACCTGCCAGTTGCCTTTTGGAAAATAGAGCAAACACTCTGACTAGAATACACCCTGCAGGTAAAAAAAAATCAAGCTGTCGTATTTAATGTTATAGTATATATAACCAAACAATACCCTTACCCTAGGCCTGGTTCCTCGAAAGATGGTTAAACCCCAGGATTAAGCCAAATTTTAAGCAAGGTTTTCTCGTCTACCAAATAACATGCAACTCGAGCTTACAAACTACTGTCGAGCCATTACTCCGAGATACAGTAATGATATCACAAAATGTAACTGGTAATACTTTAGGAAGGTAAAGAACAAAAACTGAACAAAACTTGAATCCTAGATTAGCTCTAATCGTCCTTCCGGGAACCAGGCCCTGGGTCTTAAGATTCCTGAAGTTAGAAGAGCTTAAAAAACAGTTTTAAGTGACAAAATATTTTTGCAAAATTATAGCTTCCATAATACAGTTATTCATTGTGTGTAATCAATAAAGTTTAGATGATTGTTCATACCAAACTTTATGATTTTAATAAGTATATAATATGAGCATAATAGTACTTTAAGCCTGGGAAATTTACTGATGGTTTGTAGAGGCTTTATCAGAGGCAGATCCACAAATTTCAAAAGGGGGTGGCTAGGACAGTTGTCATTATATAGATCAAACTATTAAAATTTTGCCGAAAAATTCTCTCAAAATAATGCAAATTACACCGAAAAAGAGGTGGCTATGGTGCACTTGGCCCACTTCCAATCACCTCGAAAAAATATTATGTGTCTTCAAACTGCAAACAATAAAATGCTGCCAGACACTGTGTCAATGCTGCTTTAATGTTAGAAAAACAGAAAACTGCAAGTGATGGCATGATCATTCGTGAGTTGAAAATCCGGAATGGAGTGGACATTACACTTATGATTCTCTGTTAAACAAATGGGTAGTGGCTCAGTGTACTTTTGAGTTATGGCTGCAAAGCACAAAGGTGATAGTTGATTGCGATTCTAGCTAAGCAATAGTCCTTCTGAGTGTAACCATAACTCAATAGTGGATACTGCAGCCATTTACCATCTGTTTTGTAACATAACCAAAAGAGAAAAACTTTTAAATTTGCCAACAGTTTTAAGGGGAATGATAGAACTACATGTACAGATCATAGTTTGCAGACTCTTCTCCTTCAAAAATTGCTGGATAAGTATAATTATGTTATATTTGCCTGTCTGAAGGGTAGATGTCTCACCCTTTGCCTTTAACTTCCTTCTTGATGGTATCATTTTTTTATGGATAGCACTGTTTAACCATTGCATTTTCGTTCATATTTATTTACTAAAAAAGACCTGTGGAAAACGCGGGACATAGCATTTCTGAGCCCCTAAATTTGAAAAATTTTGTGGAGGAGCATGTCCCAAGACCCTTGTAGTTTGCAGTATGTTCAGAGGTCTACCTTTTTTTCTATAGATACACCTTCAAAAACTTCATGCTAGGCCCTTGCTTGCCTTCTGAATCTTTTCTCTCAGCAGGATAATAAAATTCTTTGCAAACTATGAGGCAAAAATAAGATGTAAAAGTGTAGTCTCATGGGAATTGAGCATGCACTAGCTTGTTAGCAATCAGCCATGGGCAAAATGTAAATATGTAATTGGCCAATCAGAGTGTGCTATTTTCTTTTGTCATGTTAATTACCTTGTTTTATTTTACCTTGGGAGTGGGGGAGGTAGGGGTATCCCTAGAAAAATCTGGGTGGGATTGTGAGGCATGTCTTGTAAAACAGAACCCTAATCTTTTTAAACTATGAGATGTGTTTTTCTCTACCGTGCCTCAGACCCGACCTAAAAGGGGTCATGGGAGGGGGTGCAATATGTGCTTAGAACAACCTTAAGAGTGAGGGATTGACATACTCAGGCACCAACCTATGGCCTTGCTAGTATCTTACCAATACGCATGCAACTGTGGACAACTGTTTTGGCCTCGTTTGGGCTCATCAGCATGACATAGTGATTACAACCCTGCAGTGATGACTTGAAGTCATGTTAACAGGTGCCCTTCACTCTATATACCACTTGTTCGAATAGGAGCTGTCACATTGTGCCGATTTTTTTTTTTTGCAAATAACAGAATAAAATTATTGTACTGTTGCTGATGCTGTCTATCTTTTTACTAGCATGGCAACTGCAGCACCTTCACCTTTGGCCAGCTCGGTAGAGAAGACAAATGGAAACAAGCTGAGCAGGCTTCTCATCGATGGCGGAACAACAGTGCTGAGGAATATTTTTGATTACTATCACCCTCCTACCAACTTGGCTTCTGACCTCAACTCCAATTACTCCATACTTAGCAAACTTTCGCGTAAAAGAGTACTAAATAAGCATCAGTGGGACAAATTGTTTCCCCCTGGTGGAGGGGTACCAGACTCCAACACGTTTGACATCACTCTTCTGTTCCTTCTACTAACCAACATTTGTGGTTTATCCCCTCCCCTGACAGGGTGGCACACCAAGCCATCCCCTGGTGATAACTCTCTTGAGGCTAACCTTGCTCGTGTTAAGTTCTTCCGTAATGAATTGTATGGTCACGTGACTTCCACTGCTTTTGATGCGGCAATTTTCTCTTCCCTGTGGCAAGAAATAAGTGCTGCTCTACTCTCTCTCGGTTTGGATCAAGCTGAAATTGACAGACTTAAGGCGGAGAGTGGTGGAGAGGAAGATTATCTTGATGCCTTATAAGTTATTTGAGTGGGCTGACAGTGATGTGGAAATAAAAACAGAGCTTAAGGATATCCGTCAATCTCAAGCCAAAATCCAGGAAGTACTGCAGCTCAAGGAAGACAGAAGAAAAAAAGACGAAGAAAATGAGGTTCTGAAAAAACTGGCAGTTGTTGACACCAAGAAAGTGATTCAAACTCACTTGGACAAGTATCAAGAGGGAACCCGCATTTCTGTCTTTGAGAAGATCGAGTTGTGGCTAAACGACCGTACTTCTAAAAATCGTGTCATGGTAATCAGTGGGGATGCAGGAATGGGCAAATCAGTGATTTCCGCTGTCGTTTGTCAAGGAATGCGACATGCTGGTCGGCTGACGGGAAGTCATTTTTGTCAGCACAACAAAGCGCGTCCTAGAAATCCTAAGATAATGCTTCAATCGTTAGCTTATCAGCTGAGTGAGTTTTTGCCTCCATATAAAAGAGAACTTGTAAAAGCACTGTCAAGAAATTTGGGTGAAGATATCAACAACCTAGAGGTTGGAGAGCTCTTTGAATTGCTGTTCGAGGAGCTTTTAATAAATGTAGATGATCCGGGAAGAAGCTTGCTCATGGTGATTGATGGCCTGGATGAAAGTGAATACAAAGGCCGCAACGAGCTGCTTGATGTCATGGCTAATCAGTTTAGTACACTTGCTGGTTGGGTTCGATTTTGTGTTACAACTCGCCCGGAAATAAATATCGCAGACCGTCTTAAAAAGTTCAACCCTGTTCTACTAGAGCAAGATGATGAAGAAAATGTAGAAGACATCAGACTCTTTCTTGAAAGACAGCTGTGCAACGTCATTCAATCAAGCTTTCAAGAAGTTGTTATTGATGCACTGGTCCGAGAGGCTGCAGGACATTTTTTATATGCTTATTTGATGGTCGATTTTATCAAGGAAAACGTTTTACTCCTTACCCCCAAGGAGTTAGGAAGAATCTTACCTTCAGGTGTATCGTCTGTTTATCAGTCCTACTTTGAACGTTTAGAGAACGAATTGAAAATTGGTGAGGACCAGTTTTTGACTTTTCTAAGTGCTTTGGCGGCTGCAAGAGAACCTCTTCCTCTAGACTTTGTTTCTAAGATGTTAATTGCGGGCTCGAAGTCCCCATCTAGTCATCGGAAAGTAAGAAAAGCTATCGAATCTATCTCAACCCTTCTTCCTGTTCATGATGACTGCATTGTGTTCTTCCACAAATCAGTTAAGGATTGGTTGACTGACAGAACTGCCTACGATCGCCACAACTTCTCTGTTTTTGAAAAGCAAGGTCATGTCATGCTTTCTCAGCTCTGTACTAATGAACTGAATAACGTGAAAAGAAAAGGCGTTCACGGCACTGAATTCAGTGACACTGCGAGGTACGCCCTACAGCATGGTGTTTGTCATATGCTTGAGTCGGAAGAGCTGGAAGAGAGTACAAGAAGCTTTGAAGAAATCGTTAACAACTATGTCACGGACGTAGACATTGTGTATGCAAAGCTATGTGTAAACGACACGGCTAGTTCTGAGGACATGGTCCTCACTCAGAAACAAGAAGCTTTTCAGTTATTGAGCAGTGAGAGCCAAAACGCCCTCGGCACGTTGTTGTTTCTTTTACGAAAGTACCATGAAAGACTTACGACGAATCCCACTTCTTTTTTCCAAGTGATGGTGAACGAAGGAGGAGACGATTTTGCTGGTGAAGCGACAGAACTTTTGCAGACCAAATATCATGATATACCGTACATGAAGTACGTTCACAAGGGGGCTATGGAAGAGGAAATTGAGGTTCAGGCTTTGTCTCGCTGTACCTCTCGAGTGGCTTGTTTTGATATTTCACCTCAGCAGGAGTTCATGGTGTGTGAATGTATGGACGGGACGATTCAGCTATGGTCACTACAGACAGGGAAGCAAATATGGAAACGTCCGGTCAAGTTCGGTAAACGTTTCGTTGATGATCTTGACGCGTTCAGAGTGGTACCCGAATCATCTGTTTTGTCATGTTATCGTTCCGTTTTTTTTCACCCTACTAAGCCCATTGTTCTTCCTGGAATCGTAAGCCATGCCTACTCAATTGACGGAGCTTTCCTTCCACTGTTCCCTAATAGCAACTGCAAATTTAGCGTTTGTTCAGTTAATGGGGATAGTATGATTACAGATTTTCCTAGTGATGCAAAATGCCTGGTCATGTGGAGTCTAACAAATGGCGAAGAGATCACTCGAACTGAGGGAGATGAGGTTGTATTGTCTTTTGCCTGGTCTCCAGATCGAAAGCTACTAGCAATTTCTCATCTTTCGAGACTGGTTTGTCTGGTTGATGCATTGAATTGCTTTGAGACACTTGCAGAGATCACCACTGTTTTACCATGTGGAATGATCAAGTTTGCCCTTAACCTCAAATTTCTGTTTTGTTGGTGTAAACCAGTTAAGTCTATGTGGGAGAGATACCCAAAAGGCATTCGCGTGAACGTGGATGTTGGATTGGATGTTGTTAACGATAACGTTGACTATGAACCTTGGGATTATGAATCATCCAGCAAAGCTGGATTCTTAATGGGAGATCCTGTATCATGTTTGTTCAGGCGTTTCGAGGACGTTTTGGGACCCCTTTGGGTTCTTGTAGAAGGAGCGTTTGCGTTTGTCTTGAACAGACAAAATGTATTGAGGGTATTCCCTGGAAACAACTGCATTGCCATGTTCAATCCTGGTGAAATGAAAATTGCAACAACCACGTCCCATAGAAGACTCCGTCATGTTGCTTTTGCTGTAGATGTGAAGTCCGTTTATGGTGTAACTGAAGACAAGGAAGCAGCAGTGGTATCTTTTGATGTATCAAGTGGAAAACTTACAGCAAAGATAGAGATTGGTACTTGTCGTGATGTCCATTATCCTATACAGCCTTTTACGACCGTAAACTATTCTGACCATGGTATTTGTCTTGTGACAATGACCAATGGTGTCCTTTTGAAACTACGTCATCGTAGGACTGCTGTTCAGCTATGGAATTTTGAGTTGTCTCAACAAGTCCGAAGTTGGCCCAGTCTATGCGAGGTTACGTATATGATGCCAGTCACGGACCATTGTGTAGCATGTGTGGGCAGAAGGTTTGAAGTGAGCATCCTGGACACATTAAGTGGAGACATAGTGAAGACCATCTCACTTTGTCATGAGGTACATGAGTCAACATGTCCAATTATGTATAAAGAAGCCATAGAATGTAACAGTACATTTCAGCTGTTATCCACGGCTCGTGACTCAGTTCAGCTGTCAGATGATAGAGGTAGTCTGTGGAAGAGAGTTTTTAAAGATTCTCTGTTGTACTCGTGGAATGTCCCTGGCATGTTTTCTCCAAAGGAAAACTTTGTCCTAATCTCAGCAAAATCCCCTCGGTGTAAGCAAGAAGTACACGTGCTTGATGCGTCTTCAGGGGCCACTCTTTGCACCCTTTGCACAGTCGATCACGTGACGAACTGTGCGTTTGTTAGTGACGCGGAATGTGTCATCGACTGCCAGGATAGCTCAGAAAGTTCTTGTCTTCGGTTGTTTAATGTTAAGACTGGAGATTTGCTTAGCGTACTTGATATGGATACAGGGCCTTCCTGTTTGGCCTCCTTCCCTCAAAAGGGTTTGATCGCCTTTGGCCTCTGGAACTCCGAACGTATGTGCGCATTTATCGAGGTAAAATTGCCTCGAGACAAAGTCAACAGGAAAGCAAAGGTGAGAAATGCGTTCGTGCTTAAGAATTATTTCGCGAAAATCAGTGAAGGTTTTTTTGTACTTTATATATCCAACAAACTCAAACAAACTTTGGGAAAGACACTGCTTGTTACTCTACGGGTTTACGGTACTTGAGTATCGTCTAGCGTTCTTTTTTGCTGGCGACAGAGGCTCAGCTGTTAGACTGTATTATTTTGACAGTTTGTTTATGAATACAACATTAATGAATATATGAATTTCATATGTTGGAACTGTGGGATGAAGGGACAATGCAAGGAAGACAATCGTAGTTAAAGATGCAACTTCAAAAACTCATTGATAATTCATAAAGAAAAACCAAAAGAAATAAACGTTTAATGAGTGTCTTTATACCTGGTAAAGACACGGCTAAACTTTGCGTCCAATTTCTTAGACCAATAACCCCAAATCTTAATATTAGTGCAAGAATGAGTTTATCTATATCAGAGATTTTGAAGCCCTTCAAAAAACTCGCAGGAACGTTTTGTGTCTCATGGTTGTCTTTTCTTTGTTTTGTTTTTAATCTTACAGGCCTTGAGTGTTCACAATGATGGATCTGAAGCCTGATCTGCCTCTTCCAAAGCCAAGAGACGGTGTGAACAATGCGGCGTGAAAACCTCATAAACGGATGGTTCGAAACTTATACAGTGGAAACCATTTACGTGTAGGGTTTTCTGTTAGCGTCATTGAATCACTCTTAGCAAGTGGCATAGAAAAGCCCTGGAACTAATGCTCTTTATCATAATTAATTGTTTAAGATGTGAGGCGTTGCTAGTTGTAAGGGTAGTTTTAGTTAGGAGTTTTAAGGCCAGGTTTTAACAAGTGAAACATAGGACCATTAAGGAGTAAAGTACACTGTCGCACGAAGTAGCGTAAGGTTTATATTTGAATAGTTCTCTGTGAGTATCGGACTTAGTATAAGCTAGTAAAACAAAACATCCACCTACCTTATGTTCTGTGTCATAAACAGTAGGTCAAGGTTTGTATTTCCTGATTTTTGAAAACTGGATTTTTTGGTCAAAGACTTAGTAATAGCCTTTTAGAAACACCACCGACAGAACTTGTGTTCAGCATCACAATCAAATAGGTTAAATCTTCCTTAAACAACCACCTACAAAGCGAAGAGTTAGTGGTCGCTTACGAGAGTCGAACCGCTGAGGGTCTTTTTTGATGAGAGGTCCGAAAACATCTGCTTCTTACAAGGCCACACACACGGTCTTTTAGCCCGTCACGAAATCCTCCTTCGTCGGAGGGAACGCGTGAAGAAGCCGAAAGCAGTCAAGCCTTTTATTTCGCGCACGGATTTCTGGGACGGTACATTCCCCACTCCCTTTCGGAAATATGTGCTGATGATGCAGATGCAAGTGTTCTTGGTTTAAACCCTGGGAGTTCTACGTTTCGGGATAAAACACCATTTTTACTTGGCAGCAAGGTTAGATTGCATCTTTTTATCGAAGTAATTGCGTATTTTGCTTTTTGGATGGGTATAGCCACCTCATGATTTTACTTTAGCTCACTTCCGCTTTGAGTGGTACATTTTCGAAACGTACTTAACATTTTCTCTCCATCGTGCACTCCATAACCCTTTGTCTTTTATGGTCCTGGGTATGGATCAGCGTTGATCTGATACAATTTTAACGATCGCTGTTCTCCTTAGAAAACAAGCCGGCCTCTGAGGAAGACTTGAAGACTCTCAAAGACTACGGGTTATAAAGAGTCAGTAACTGTAGTTCAAGAAACCCGGAACGGGTAAGGTTTCTACGCTTCTTTATTAATTCCCAATCTATTCATATTATCTGTTAATATTCTTGATTTTCTACTTATAGCTGTCAGCTATAAGTAGAATTATGTCCCTTGAATTAACGAAATAGGCACTCTTTCTCTTGATTTTCGTTTGCATTACAAGGCAGTCATGCATGTTTGTGGTTAATACAATACAATGGTTTTTCGCAGAATTTGCATGAAAATAGAGTCGTGGCTGCCTTGGCGTCACTTGCAATCCTAGCGTAATCGATCACGAAAACAGGAGCTCCTAGGGGATTGTATCTGTGCCAAAATTTGACTACTTCCTCTAAAAATTTATTGTAACAGTTTGTCAGTTATTGGGTTTCCATCATGTCGGTTGAACATGTAATCAAACTTCAAAAGTAAATAATGATAACAATGTATAACAATAATAATAATAATAATAAATTAGTAGATACATACATGCGCCATTAGCTGTTCATGCAGCTAGAAATTACGGGTAGTTAGCCAAAACTGATGCCTTTTGGCATCTTCCCCTGTGGCTGAGGTTAAATGCTTCCAACTTTCCCTTAGTTTTTGACATGATTCTTCCCAATCTTGGGTGGAAACCAAATGAAAATTGGGCCTAATAAAAATAGTCATCCAATCACTGTCGATAATGTGATGCGTCTGTTATACATGTTCATATGCATAAGGCTTCTTAGGGGAGCAGGGGGTGTGTATGTCCCTGGTCAAATTTCAAATAGGGTCATTTCGTGTTTTGAGGAGTAGGCCGTGTCCCTGTTGTTACACTGTATTTAACCCATCTTTATGTCTGCCCACTCATTTGTTGCCGTTCAAGGCCATGTCGCATATCGGGATTTTACCCTAACAGGGTGTTATAGATGTGTTATAGAGAAGTAAGGATTTCATTTGCATTCCAGTGCTTATTTTGTGGCGACCTTGTCCTACTTCTTTCATTCACCAATGAGCACAATTTTCTCAGCATATATTAGAAACAACACAGTAGTTGTTATCATGTCGTGAGATTACTAATTCACCGACGGGGTGGTAGTTGTAATGTCAGAAATGTGGTAGTGGCAGTAAAATGCTATTATACTGAGGGGGTGTTTATAATAGCCGTATATGTATTCTTCCTTAAAGTATTTTCCCTATTTCAGGGGGAGGCTTCACCTACATGTAGGCTCAATTGGTAAATGAGGGAGGGTGAGAGGGTAAGTGTTGGTATAAATGGTCAGCATTCATGTGGATATACAAGTTCAAACAATGAAGCAAGTGGTAATGGTTCTTCCTAAGGAGGGAGGGAGGAGTGGCATTTGTAGTTTAAGGCAGGGTGAGTGGATCATACTGGCAGTGGTAAATGAGAGGGGAGAGCGGTTGTGGAAGTGAAAGTGTTAGTACTAGTGAGGAGGGAGAGTTGCAGGACGTGGGAGAGGGGAGAAATAGTGGAAGTAGGGAGATGGGGGGTGGGGGGGGGGGGCAGGGGAAGTGGGGTGAAATGAACTTTAACATTTTCCCCAGGTTTCTGTTTATGCATGGTATAAAAAATTTCATTTTGTTTTGTGTGGTATCGTGGGAAGCTGTTCTTTTTTCTTTGCATTATTTTTCCTTGTGCTAACATTATTAATTAATGAAATATAATAGCTACTGCAATTTGCAATGAGCCACGCTACAGCGTGTGAGTAAACGTGTCTCCGGGAAATTACAAGTGCACAATATATCCCCGCCAAAATTTGACTTATTAAGCTTCTTAAATTCTAATTAACATTTTTCCTTCTTTTTCAGTGTGTACATTATTGGTGCTTGTAGAAATGTCCTCCAAGTTTTAAACTAGGGGCAATAACTACTTCTCAGGTACCCTTGACTGTTATACTGTCAATGACCCTTTTACTGTTGTATTTTAACTTAGATCTAAACATTTTTGTTAGAATTATAGTGCTTTTTTACTAAGATATTTTTTCTCCCCAATTGAGCTTACAAGCCAACTGGGAGCGGAGCTTGTCATTTAGTGTTGCAAACTTGTGAAGGATGAAGATGAAAGACCAAATATATTAATATCACATATAGATTTGCATGATGATGAAAGTGTGCACTGTAATAGGCCTTATAATTCAAAACTACCTTAATAGTCATAGTACTCTTTGTTTCCCCCACAAACTTTTGCATAAGCATTGTTTCTACTTTATCCTGGGATTTACGATCGTCCTTACATTCAAAATGCATGCTAATGTAAAATTGTGGCGAGAAAGCAAAGAGTATTGTGTGTTTTTGTTTTTTATTATTCAATAGCTGTTTAACTTAAACTGTTAAATGTGTGATGAGGCCCTCTGAATATGTTAATAACCTTGGTGAATCACTCAACTACTCAGTATGTTAGGTTCTTTTTTATGAGAGAAGATAACTATGATTCAGAGTTAATTCGTTTTTGTGTGTGTGTGTGTTCGTTTCTATGTAGATTTAAAGGGTGGTGGATGTTTCCTTTTCTGGCTTTTATGGCGACTGCAACACTGTCACCCCTGGCCAGCTCTGTAGAGAAGACAAATGGAAACAAGCTAAGCAGGCTTCTCATCGATGGCGGAACAACAGTGCTGAAGAATATTTTCGATTCCCATCACCCTCCTGCCAACTTGGCCGCTAATCTTAGTTCCAAACATATTCATTCCATTCTTACTAAACTTCGGAAAAGAAACATTCTGAATGGTAGTCAATGGGACAAACTGTTCCCACCACCAGGTGGAGGGACACCAAACTCTATTAACTTTGATATCACTCTTCTGTTCCTCTTGCTAACTAACATTTGCTGCCTATCCCCTCCCCCCTCGGGCTCTTGGCACAAAATGCCTCCCGTGAGTGACACCTCTACAGAGGCTAACCTTGCTCGCGTCAAGTACTATCGAAACGTTCTCTATGGTCATGTGACAACAACTGGCATTCAAACATCAGTGTTCGATGTGAAATGGCGGGAAATAAGTTCCGTTCTTGTTTCGCTTGGGTTTAGTCAGTGTGAGGTGGACAGGTTAAAGGGAGAGCCTTGTGGAGAGGACTATGTCGGCGCCGTTACTGAATGGATGAAAGATGACGAGGAGATCCAATTCCAGCTGAAAGATCTACGTACAAAACAGCAGCAAGTGCTCCGAACCCAACAGGAAGATCACAGAGCTCTTCACGATACGCATCAAATAGTTGGAAAAGTGCAACAGACGCAAATAGAAGCCAGTAAATTACAACAGAAGGACCACAAAACTCTTCAAGATACATACCAAACCGTTAACAAAATAGAACAGATTCAATTTGGGAAAAGCAAATTGCAACAAGTGGACCACAGAACTCTTCAAGGTACACACCAAACGGTTGGCAGAGTGGAACAGACGCTTCAAGATACACACCAGGCAGTTTGTAATTTACAGCAGATGCAAACAGAGGCAGTGAAATTGCAACAGGAGGACCACAGAATTCTTCAGGACACGCGCCAAGCAGTTGAAGGTGTAGAGCGGTCTATGCAGATGTTACAGGAAGTTCGGACAACCCAACAAGAATCGCAGCAGCAGATAAAGCGTGAGGCTGCAAATGCTGAAGAAAGAGGCGATAAAGCTGAAGAGGATGAAGCTCTGAGAAAATTAGCAAAAGTTAGCACCGAGAGCGTCATCCAGTATCACTCTGGGAAATACCTGGAGGAAACGCGCCTGCTCATCTTTGAGAAGATCAGGTTGTGGCTAGACGACCTTACATCTGAAAATCGTGTGATAGTAATCAGTGGAGATGCGGGAATGGGCAAATCAGTGATCGCCGCTGTCGTTTGTCAGAGAATGCAACACGCTGGTTGGCTCTCAGGAAGTCACTTTTGTCAGCACAACAAGGAACGTTACAGAAACCCGAAGGTGATGCTGCAGTCGTTAGCTTGTCAGTTGTCTGATGTTTTACCAGAATACAAAAGTGAACTTGTGAAGAAACTTTCTAGAAACTTGGGTGTTGACATGAACAGCCTAGAAGTTCAGGAATTGTTCGAATTTCTTTTCGAAGAGCCTTTATGCAGCGTAGGAGACCCTGGGAGAAATTTGCTGTTAGTTATTGATGGCCTGGATGAAAGTGAATACAAAGGCCGCAATGATCTGCTTGATGTCGTAGCTAATTATTTTTGTAAACTTCCTGTTTGGTTCCGGTTTCTTGTTACCACTCGACCTGAAGTAAATATTGCAGATCGTCTTAAAAAGTTTAATCCTATTCAGCTGGCGCAAGATAACGAAGAAAACGTGAAAGACGTCAGACTCTTCCTTAAAAAACAGTTGAGCAGCGTTATTCAATCGGACTCTGAAGATGTTGTTATCGATGCACTGGTCCGAAAGGCTGCAGGGCATTTTTTATATGCTTATTTGATGGTCGATTTTATCAAGGAAAACGTTTCACTTCTCACTCCCGAAGAGTTAGGAAGAACCTTACCTTCAGGTGTATCGTCTGTTTATCAGTCCTACTTTGAACGTTTAGAGAGAGAATTGGAAATTGGTGAGGACCAGTTTTTAACTTTTCTAAGTGCTATGGCGGCTGCAAGAGAACCGCTGCCTCGAGACTTTGTTTCTAAGATGTTGCTTTCGGACTCAAAGTCACCATCTGGTCCTCGGAAAGTAACAAAAGCTATCGGCTCTATCTCAGCCCTTCTACCTGTTCATGATGACTGTATTGTGTTCTTTCACAAATCAGTTAAGGACTGGTTGACAGACAGAACAACCTACGGGCAACACACCTTCTCTGTGGATGAAAAGCAAGGTCATGTCATGCTCTCTCAGCTCTGTACTAATGAACTGAATAACGTGAAAAGAAAAGGCGTTCACGGAACAGAATTCAGTGACACTACAAGGTACGCCCTACAGCATGGTGTTTATCATATGCTTGAGTCTGGAGACCTGGAACAGAGTACAAGAAGCTTTGAAGAAATGGTTAACAACTATGTCACCGACTTAGACATTGTGTATGCAAAGCTTTGTGTAAACAACACGGCAAGTTCTGAAGACATTATCCTTACTCAGAAACAAGAAGCTTATCAGTTATTGAGTAGTGAGAGCCGAAAAGCCCTTGGCACGTTGTTGTCTCTCTTACGAAAGTACCATGGAAGACTTTCCACGCATCGTAGTTTAATATTTCAAGTGATAGTGAACGAGGGAGGGGACATTTTGGCTGGTGAAGCGACGAAAATTTTACAGAGTTGTGAAATACCATACATGGAATACTTGCAGAAGGAAGCTTTGAAGGAGTTGAATAAGATTCAGGCTGAGTTTCCCTGTAACTCCACGGTCGTTTGTTTTGATATTTCACCGAAGCTGGAGTTCATGGTTTGCGAATGTACTGATGGGATGATTTACCTTTGGTCACTCAAAACGAGTGAGCAAAGGTGGATACGGCCGGTTGAGGTCAAGAAATTCTACCGTGAACCTTCTCTCGCCTTTAGAGTGGTCCCAAACTCAAATGTATACTCATGTTATCGCTCTGTTGTTTTTCACCCTACTGAGCCTGTTGTTCTTCCTGGAATCCTTAGCCATGCATACTCGTTTGAAGGAAACCTCCAACCTTTGTTTCCTGGAAGCAACTGCAGATTTTCTGTTTGTTCAGTTCATGGGGACGAGAGCAAAATTATCACCGATTTACCTGGCAATGCTAAATGCCTTGTCATGTGGAATCTAAAAAATGGTGAAGAGATCACTCGAACCATCAGAAATGAAGATGTTTTGTCTTTTGCTTGGTCTCCAGATGGAACGCTTCTGGCAATTTCCCATTTTTCGGGACTGGTATGTTTGGTTGACGCATTGAACTGCTTAGACACCACTCTCGCAGAAGTCGCCACCAATCAACCTTGTGGAATGATAAAGTTTATCCCTGACATTCAATTCCTTTTTTGTTTGTCTTGGCCTATTAAACGAATTGCAGAGACACGCAACTATAGAGCGCATCCCTTTCGTTTTCCCTTAAACGTCAGTAAGTTGCCTTGTGGTACCTTTTCCTTGAACGTTTTAGACAATGAGCTTGTTCAGGATCCATGGAATTACGAATCATCTAGCAAAGGTGGATTCTTGATGGGAGATCCTTTGTTTTACAGGGTTTCCTTGTCCGTTTCATCTAACTCGTTGCCATTTGCATTTGTATTAAACAAACAAAGTGTATTAAGGGTAGTTCGTGGTAAGAGGAAAATTACAATGCTTAAACATGAAGATTATCTGAGGGACACCTGGCGTCCTGATCTCTTTTCTCGTCCTTGTGCCATTGCCTTCGCTTTAGATGGAAAGACCATTTATGGTACCACTGAAGGGTATAGAGGCTTACAAGTGGTATCTTTGGATGTGTCGAGTGGACATCGTAAAGCAGAGAAAGTGATAGGAACACGTAATGTTTTACTTGTACCTGTGTCAGAAGGTGTCCTTTTGAAACAACGTGAACCTAGGGCGGATGTTCAGCTATGGAATTTTGAGTTGTCACAACAAATCCGAAGTTGGCCTAATTTAAGCGAGGTTAGGGATATAATGCCATTTTCAGACCACTGTGTAGCGTGTCTGGGGAGAGATTTTGAAGTAAGCATCCTGGACACATCAAATGGAAACATAGTGAAGACCATCCCACTTTGTCACGAGGGTTTCCAGTCAACATATTGTCGGAGGGATAAAAACACCATAGTATGCAACAGTAAATATCAGCTGCTATCCACCTCTCGTGGCTCAGTTCAGCTGTCAGATGGCAAAAATGAACTATGGAAGAGAACTCTGAAATTTCCACATTTTTTTCCACTTGACCTACCTGGGATGTTTTCTCCAACAGAGGAGTTTGTCCTTGTCTCGTCTATAAACCCTAGGTCGAAGAAGTTAGAAGTACTTGTGCTTGAAGCATCTTCAGGAAAGTATATCCAGACGCTATGCACCGTTGACAGAATTCGTGGCTGTGCCTTTGTGAGTAAGACGGAATGTGTTATCGTCTGCGGTAATACTTCAGAGAGTTATTATTGTCTTCTGTTGTTCAATGTTAGCACTGGGGATTTCCTAACTGTACTTGATATAGATTTTCTACCGTCCCGGCCTCTGGCTTCCTGTCCACAAAAGGGTTTGATCGCTATTGGCCTTGAGGACTCCGAACGTATAGGCCCAGTTATACAAGTAAAACTACCGCGAGACAAAGTAAACCGGGAAGCAAAAGGTAAGTAATGCGTTTTTTTCCTTATCGTAAGTCGAAGAATTACTAAGTTTACTAAGCGTCTACAGATCACACCTACATTGAATTGGTAATATTAGTTCCCAAAAAGGAGCTTGTGTGAAAAATGGTGCAGTTTGTAGATATTACTGGGGTCGAACTTCTATTAAGTAGCCGCTCTCTTTAGCGGCCTGTTACAAGATTCCCTGCGAACAAAGCTGTCAGTAAATCACAGTAAAAAGTACTTTTATGAAACGGCCAGTTGTCCCTTCCCCGAGGCTGGCCGCTGGCCGCTGGCCGCTTAACACTTCAAGTCCCAAGGGTGACCAACCTCAATTTTCCCTTAACAATATCAATACATCATCATAAGAAAACGTTATGAGAAGTGATGAAATGATCACCTAAGAGAAAATGTTTTGATCTTTAAACAAATTCTCTCAACTGTTCCTTCTTCTTTGAGCGAGATATTTCAGCTCCACAAAACTTTGTCAATCTTTAAAAATTTTGCCAGTATCTTTCTTCTCCGTTTTCAAATATTCTTGCAAATGTGGTAGATTACATAGATCTTGTTTAATTAATAGGAATGTAATAATGCTTCTTACTTTGTTATCTGGGACCACTGATGAATACAAATTTAGTTATATTTTGGGATTTCAGATCCTTACATAAGCAGATAATTTATAATTGCATGCATTAAGTATTGTCGATTGCTTTTGGTGTTTGCATTCCGTTTTTCCCATCCATAGCATCCAGGAAGATTTCACTGAAGCAATCTGAAATAAGAGGTCTCTATAGTTTCGATAGTTACTGTTTTTGTACATCAATTTTCAATCCGTCCACTGAGTAACTTATTCATCGTGTTTAAATTTTTTGCAGGTTCCGAAAACTTAACAACTGGGGACAAAGGTTGTGCCACAGTGCGTCAACCTGGCAACAAATTGTGAGTGCAAGTTTCTCTATTCTCTCCCGTTCCAACTGTAACGTAATTTTGGTAGGCATGTAACCGGGATTATAATAAGGGATTTTTACGTTACTTCAAGTTCATTCTAGGCGTGAAAAGAAGTACGGTTAAGAAACCGAAAACGTTTAACCCATGCCAATTTGCCACTAAGGTTCTCAATGACATTTTAAAATTGCTTTTAACTAAACGATTGTAGGATGTAATGATAACATCCGAAACCCTTGCGCTCCTTTCGCACCGATATTAAACATGTTTAAAAGCTGTTTAGTTTACCTTGGCATATTTTTCTGCGGTATATTGGTGATTGTCGCCTTAAAGTTTGTGGAAGTTAACGCACAAGTTTAAGCTTAGTTTCTTGAACCCTTTTGAGATATGATTGTTAAACCTGGTATAATTAAACACAGGGACACTCAATGGATATGTTTCTCAAAATATCTGTACCTCAAGCAAATTTTTCGCTGGCTGTGAGATTTGGAAAAAAATAATTTGTCCGTGGAAGGAATGTGTAAATTCGGGGTGTCTGAGGGGATTTGATGTTTTGAATAGCTGGTATGGGTATGTGCTATTTGTCAGATACTTTTTTCTGCCCCCCCCCCCCCCTTTCCCTGAAGAGGTAAATTTCCCCCTTAGGCCACACCCAAAATTCCTTTCTTAAATCCTTTCTTGTACCTTGCTGGCTGGGAACTCTTTCATCAGTTTTGCTGGGAGTGAGGAACACATAAATCTCCCAAAATGCTTAAAATGGCTTCAGAAAGCTATATTCATGCTTTGTTGCCGTTTTTAGGTCTTATTCTCAAAATGTTCCGTTTATTTCGATTTTTTTTATTGATGGTTGTGGCGCTGTTTTTCGTCTTACTTTACTGCGAAATGGTTGTTGATGTTTAGTCTTTACTTATTAATCTTGCAGTTTGGAGCTTTAACATTGATGATTGATGTACATGCAGTATCTAGAAATGTTACGTGAGCGGCTTGTCTCTTGACAGGAGGTGGATTAAAAAACACGCTGTGAATTAAAAGCCCTCAAACATGGAAAAGCTTCGAAAAGTATGCCTTCAACAGTACGTTTAGACCTTTTAAAATAAATGTTCATCGTTTTAGCATCGTTTAAGGATTTACAGTAATTATTAGCAAGTAAACCAGAAAATGAAAACCTCTGGAATTGATGCGGAGTACTGTATCGTAAGCAATAGCACAAGGCTTACATTTGAAGAAATTCTATTAACATTGGGCGAATTAAAATTAGTAATTAAAAGCAAACCTACAGAAAACATGTACAGTATCATAATCACAACAGATTAAGGAATATTTTTATTAATTTCTTTTCGGTTTCATTAAATGACTTTGAGTTAGCAAGTAAACAGAAATCCTTCTACTCGTAATGTAGTGTAAAAGTTTGTGATCAGTTTATTGTAAAGTTTATGGTCTAAGAGGTTTTTGTTAACGTCATTTTGACTTAGGTAACAGCTTTTCGTTTTTACATGAAGAAGTTTCTTTTTAGATTGAATTTATTTAGTTGCTAGTAAAACGGAGAACCTGAAATTATGGTTCAGTTTCGAAAGCAATAGTTCAAGGTATATTTTCGAAGAGTTAGGTTTCTAGGACTTAGTATTAGCATCTCAAGTAAGACGGAACAGCAATATAACATATGTTCAGTATATAATCAGTTTTATATTTGATTTAGCGCAAAAATCGTTAGAGCTGATTTAGCTTACCGTTTGTATGGTAATATTTCTCTGTTAGTTCAAGGCTTAGTATTAGCAAGTAGGACAGAAAAACAGAACCAATGTTCAGTTTCATAAGCAATAGCCGGCGTCATGATTGAACGGTAGCTGTAAGATGATAGTTGTAAAGCTTTTCGTCGGTATCAAAGTAAATGACTTAGTTTAGAGAGTGAGAAGGAAAACCTAAGAACGTATTTTTAATATCACAAGCAAAAGCAAAAATTCTACGTTTGAAGAGTTCTATATTTTTATTGGTGTCATTAAATGGCATAGATCGAATTAGCCCTCCAAGTGTATCATCTTGACCTGTATTGCTAAGGTTGATAATTGTAGAGTTTTTTGTCGGTATTTGATGACTGTAGTTTAGCAAGGGAAAAGGAAAACCCAAGAGCTTACATTCAGTATCGTGAGCAATAGCTTAAGTCATATATCATTTTTTTATTGCAGTCATTAATTGGCTTAGAACTAACACTTGAGTAAAACAGAGCCTTAAGAAGTGATTTTCAGTATCCGGCGTCATGTCCAGTAACTGAAGGATGATAGTTGTAGAGTTTTTTGTCAGTATTGTTCAAACAAATTAGTCAGCAAGTGAACGGAAAAACCTAATAACAGGGGGCCTTTAAGCAATTAAGCCCCGGGTTAACAAAAATTTGGGTTCAAATGACCTTATATAAGGGAAGGCACCTTTTTAATTGGAGGGGGGGTAGGGCTGGGTCGTAGAGGCGACTCTTCGGCCCTTCCCTGACTATGACGAATATTCCCAGGGTCGTGAATCTATTGATTTTCAACCCGAGCTCAAATGAAAAGAATGTTCCACCAAAACAAATTAAATCCAGGAGACGACGAGACAATAGCTGAATTTTTTCGGAACTGTATTGTCCGGCAGAAGTTTGTGAAGAAGGACTATGTCGATCACCTTGCTCAAATTGAAATGCGTAAGGAAAAGCGAAGAGCTGAAAGTGAAAGGCAGCAAACGCAGTGGCTGGAACAAGATTACAACGACATTGAATGACAGCAATTGTATAATTCTGACCAAACATCGTCGTTGAAAGTTCATGAACTTAATTTGTACTTGGTACGTCATGGAATCGTGTTTAAGGGGAAGAAGCCAGAGAAAGTGGCATATATAAAGCACATATCGCTAGCAGGATCTTATCAGGCATGGAGAAAGAGACTCCACTGCGTAAAGAAACTTCAACTTTGGGCTCACAAAGTGAAACAGAGGAAAGGATTCTAGGCTCTGATTTATTGTCCACATCATCGAGAGAATTGAGCGATATAAGTGACAGACCCGTACTGCATACAGTGGACACATCAATGTCAAGATACGGCCGAAAGAGAACACGGGTCGTCCGGCGTCCGAAACAGTTACGTGCCATGGCAGAATAAGAAGAAAAAAGAAAGAAAGAAAGAAAGAATGAATCTGATGAATGAACTGCAATAAAACTGCTGTTTAACTGGAATGAGTAATTACAAGTTCTCGTTCGATAGAAAGGACTGGTACGAAGCTTTAAAATACAAAGAAATGACATCAATGTGGTAGATGAACACGTTTAAAGAAACCACTGTGAAAAGAAGGCTTGGCTCTTCCTTGATACCTTTTATAATAAGGGTTGACCCTCGGCGAGGGTCCCATTTTTGGTTTTTGATTACCCTCCCCTCTGAATCCCCACCCCTTCCCCCAATTAAAAACGTTCCTTCCCTAATCGAAAGTTAATAACAGGGAGTGAAATTGCACCTAACACAGTTAGCAATGCCTGTCGCGGTGATGGACATTGGCCTGCTTCGTTGACTTTGATTACCTGCTAGAATCATATAGTTTTATTGTTGGTGTACATAATTGTTAACTCACTATTATGCTATTTACTCATTTAACGCAACAGTTTCACCCATTAACTGCAAAAGCGAACTGTGCTGTATTGTCTTAACTAAAGGTAACCGTTAACTTAGCTTGCTTCTATGTCCTCACCCCCTCCCTTTCAGGGCTTCTACAACAGGCGCTTAAAAGGAAAAGTAGCTGGCTACGCCCCTGAAAACCTTACAATCAGTATCATTAGCAATAGCTACGTTTTAAATTTTAAGATCTTTCAATGAGTATCATTGAATGATTTAGTATTAGCAAGTAAAATGCAGATCCCCATAAACTAATGTTAAGTATCATAATAACTATTGTCTTTGAGATGTTATTAATTTGTAGTATAATAAATCGTTTGACAGTTTCTGCGTATTCTTAATAAGATTTTGTTCTGGGAATTGTTCCGTGTATGACTCACAACGATATTTTTGCGAACGCAATGCTGGGGTAAAATAACATAAAAGGAGATTGTTTGCT